AAATCAATTAACTTAATCAACCTGACCAAATCTTAACTCTGAAGCAATTCCTTTAATCATGATAACTGCTGCTTTCAACTTCAATGTTTTTAGCTTCAATGTTTTCAACTTCAACTTAGTAAAACGAGCTTAGAAGCAATAAAAGCAATTTCACTAATCCCACATCAAAACCCGGCATATTTTGAATGTCCAACAGGATCAATTCTCAAGTAAAATGCTCAACAAAAACATAGGAAAGACAATCAGACTGCTCGTATCAGGGCGAAGCCCTGAATGTTCCGACTGCCTTTTAAGGTTTATGGAGCAGCAGTAATAACATTAAAAAATTAAATGAAATAAAATAAAATGAAAATATTATTTTTCTAAAATTTGAAATTTTTTATGAAAATCATCCCCCCACACGCCATTTAAAGTACAAAAAGAGAGAATTCGTTCCTTGTAACAAATCAATTATGGCAAATAAGCTTCGTTCAACCAATTTGGAACGATTTATAAGACGGAACAAGACTGCTCGTATCAGGGCGAAGCCCTGAATGTTCCGACTGCCTTTTAAGATTTATGGAGCAGTAATAACATTTAAAAATTCAATGAAATAAATCAAAATGAAAAAAAAAATTCTGAAATTTGAATTTTTTATGAAAATCATCCCCCCACACGCCATATAAAGTACAAAGGGATAGATTTCGCTCCTTGTAACAAACCAATTATGGCAAATAAGCTTCTTTTGACCAATTCGGGACGATTTCTTTGATGGATTAACTCTCCGTTTACGCGTTAATAGCGCAAAATATATCGCGCGTTAATTGTCCCAAATTGGCCAAAATGGCAATATGTAAACCCCCATAACTTTACGAAAAACAATCACATGTGAAATACCTTTTCACATTTGAGCTCAGGAGAACAATACCTTTCGAATGATATAAAAAAATTCCGTCAAAAATGGCTAGTTAAAAAGTCGAAATTTGTCTGAAGAAAAAAAAAACCCACCCGAGCACAAATATTCCGTTACTTTCGTATCGAAAGTCGGAACAATAAATCTCCGCTTATGCGTAATAGCGCGAATTATATCGCGCGTTAATTGTCCCAAATTGGTCAAAATGCCCAAATTGGCAACCTTTAAACCCTCATAACTTTACGAAAAGGGATCACAAGTGAAATTTCTTTTCAAATTCAGGCTCAGGACAACAATACGTTTTGAACGATATAAAAAAATTCCGTCAAAAACGGCTAGTTAAAAAGTCGAAATTTGTCTGAAGAAAAAAAAACCCTCCCCGAGCACAAATATTCCGTTACTTTTGTATCGAAAGTCGGAACAAAAAGTCGCCTTACCCAATACAACTGCTCGCGTTTTTATCTCAGTGAACCATTATTTTGTTAAACTAGTCATTAGAACAGTTCGCATTGGCTTTGAAAAAGTTTCCCTCCTAGTTTTTCTGAGAAATGTGAAAAAATCACAAAACGCGTTATGTTTCGCCCCGAGTTATGGAATTACAATTGGTATCGAAGGACGGCTTTTTGGTTTTCGATTTTTCTTTTGTGGTTCGCATCTGATCATCTGAGTTTTAATCGAAAACTCCCACAAAGATATTCTGAACGCATATGATGGAACCAACCACGACCCAAAATTTTTGTATTTTGACGATGAAGTTCAAAACATCATGTGAATATGAGAGAAAATCCTGAGCCCAATTTTTTTCGGGATTCATTAGAATTTTTTAAATTTGATACCTGTATAAAACACATTAAAAATTTTTAACTCAAAAGTAGAGTTTTATTTGTGGGAATCAAATTTTATATCCGTCTTCTTTGCATCTTCCGAGAGACGCATATAATGCAATACAACTGCTCGCATTCAAATTTTTTGTCGATCAACTTAACCCAGATCAATATTCTTCATGAAAGGACGCTAGTTATGAGATAGAGAAACAAAAATTTATCAAAAAATATATCTAGTAGGTGAGTGGCTCTATATCATCGTTCCTTTTGCTTTTGACATTTTTGGCCAGTAGCTAACCTAATTAGCTGATGACTGTTTTCAAGTTCTCCGGTCTTGGTTATTTTTTTTTTTGAAATTTTCAGACATTAACTAATTTAATTAGGTAATCGGGCTTCCCAAGGTTATTGATTTAATTAATAATAGCTTTGAAGTCAACATAAATTTTTTTTGAGTGGTGTGATTATTGGTGCGATTAATTAAAACTGGCTGCCGTTTTCTACTTTTTCTGTTGCCTCTGTCCTGAAGATAGCAGCAAAGTCAATATGTCAGGTTTTAAGTTATTTCATATGAAACAAACTGATAAATCGATAAACTTTTGATCACAATTTCCTAGTTTAGCCATTTTCTCGACTTTTTGCTCCGACTTTTGAAGATAACGGAATATTTATGCTCGGTGTGGTTTTTGTTCCGACTTTCGTAACGAGAGTAACGGAATATTTGGGCTCGGGGTCGTTTTTTTTTTCAGACAAATTTAGTTTTTTTAACTACCCTTTTTTACCGAATTTTTCAATTTTATTCAAAATGTATTGTTGTCCTGAGCTTAAATTTGAAATTATATTTCACCTGTGATCATTTTTCGTAAAACTATGAGGGTTTAAAGATTGCCATTTTGGCCAATTTGGGACAATTAACGCGCAATATAATTCGCGCTATTAACGCGTAAGCGAGATTTAATCCGTCTTATAAATCGTTCCAAATTGGTTGAACGAAGCTTATTTGCCATAATTGATTTGTTGCGAGGAACGAAATCTATCGTTTTGTAATTTATATGGCGTGTGGGGAGATGATTTTCACTAAAAATGTCAAATTTTAAATGTACATAATTTCTGTACATAAAAGCCACACAGAAACTAAAAGAAATTTAAAATCTTCAAAACTAATTGATCAAATTAAAAAATTGCTAATATTTATTAGTGCAATGCCCTTAAAATTCTAATTATGTCCTATTTTTGCTTCGAATTTTAAATGAATTTTCAAAATAAAAGAAGTTTTCTTCTGAGTGAGTAAATCTTCACTAACGAACAATGTAAAGTACAATTGATATGATAGATTTCGAAGCTTCTAAAAAAGTTTGACCGTTTAGAGGGCCGTTCGGAGGGCTGGATTGATTTACAACTGAATTTGAAACACAGTACAAGGTTGATTTATACCACCCGAAACTAGAAGAATTTTAAAGTAAAGTTGCTTTTTCTCCAATCATGATGACATAAACATTTAAGAGTGAAAGAAATTGCTTTAAGTTATTACAGAATTCTTTAACGCATATTTTGCAAAACTCGGGCCCAAATGTACCGCAAAAACGCACCACTTATGGCTTTTTACTCAATCAAAAGTAATGACAAAACTACCGGATCAATTGCTGACATTCCTATCTCAAAAGGGGCTTCTTAAGTAAATCAACAATTTATTTTGAGTTTAAACTCCAAAAAAAGCTCGAAAAAATTTTTTAAATGTTTTTAAATTAAAAAAAAAAACAAGTATTCTGCTTTATGTAGTTTACATGAAATTTTTTGGCTATTGAAATTTTTTTCAAAACTTTTTGAAAAATGAGAAGATTACACATTTCCTAAACCTTGCCGGATGACATAGGAGGATCCGTTTTGAAAAAGTTTTGTCACCAAAAAACCAAAAGTTTTGTAATTTTTGATTAGCTAAAACAACCAAAACTAAAACAACTAATCTGCTAAATTTTTTAGCAAGTGTTTTTTCATCATTTTTTGTTACACTGAACTCATAATGACCAAAACACGTCCTAATAATTTGATTCATTGCATTTTTGTATTTGAGCTCAGGTAATCATTATCCTACAGAATTCTGCTTACAAATGCTTGTAAATTGAAAGTTTGTCGGCATATTAGTGTTGTTGCAGATTCCGCAACGATTGAAGAAAACTGATGTAAGCGCAAAGAGGATTCCGAATTTTTATGCAGATACCGTTCTTAGTTTGCGGAATCCGCTTTTAGTTTGAATCTTGTCCTCTTAAATTTCTCCAACCAGTAGATTTAGGGGGTTCGATAGATGGTCTCCTCTGGTTTTATTGTTCCACTGAGAGTAACGGAATTCTTGTGCTCGGGGCGCACGATATGATACGCGTTTTTAACGCGTATGCGGAGATTTAAGCCGTCTTAGAAATCGTTCCAAATTGTTTGAAAGAAGCTTATTTGCCATAATCGAAGTTTTACAAGGAGCAAAAACTATACTTTTGTACTTCATATGGCGTGTGGGGTTTTGGTTTTTATAAAAAATCTCAAACGTTAGAAAACAAATTTATCATTTTATTTTATTACATTTAATTTTTTTTCAGTGTTTTTACTGCTCCATAAATCTTAAAAGGCAATAGAAACATACAAGACTTCGCCGTGATACGAGCAGTCTTGTTTTACGTTTTTTTTGGTCGACCGTCCTTGAAATTCATCAAAAAAGGTTTTTGGGAGTATATAACACTGCATTAGATTTGAGCGCGTGGATTTGAGCGCACGGATCTGAGCCTAAACAGCACTTAAAACAGTTTTTCTGGGAAGGTAACAGACATTGTTTTATCCTTAAGCTACCCAAAACCAACAATGAAAGCAGAAAATTATCATTGAGAAGCCAAACTGTGCACTGGATAGGTACATAATTTGGTGTCTGTAGGTCACTGGACGCCAGAGACAAGTCCTTTAACTTTTTCCAAAATGTGAGTGAATTCGACTTCGAAAACTTCAGCGAATTCTGCTTACAAATGCTTGTAAATTGAAAGTTTGTCGGCATATTAGTGTTGTTGCAGATTCTGCAACGATTGAAGAAAACTAATGTAAGCGCAAGGAGGATTCCGCAATTTTATGCAGATACCGTTCTTAGTTTGCAGAATCCATTTTTAGTTTATGGATTCCGCTTACAATTTGCGGTTTCATTATGCAGATACCGTTCTTAGTTTGCGGAATCCGTTTTTAGTTTAAGGATTCCGCTTACAATTTGGCCTCGCAATGATTGGCTTGAAAAACAGATAAAATTTTTTACTTACCACCGACGATGCAACCAGTTTGCCAAACTAGCGGGAGAACACAGGTGATAATAACGCAGCTTGTATAAAAACCAAGCTCAGAAGAGTTGGATGAGTTCGAAATTTTGCTGGAGTATTTTCTTTCAGGTTTAAACTCCATGATTCTATGCAGGCTCATAAAAAGTTACCATGAAATCAAGAATGATATATAATGAAAACAAGAATAAAAGGAACGTTGAAGCAATTTAATAATCAATTATTACGTTGAACTTCAAAAATCGAATTCGACATTTTAATTATTTTTGTTTGCAAAAGTTTAGAAGTTTCTAGCCTTATTTTGGGTTTTTGTTTATCTTTTCCGTCTATTCGTTTCAATCTGAAGTCGAATTCATTCAGTGAATTAATGGGGTAAATTTTATTTATATCACAAAATTCGGTTAAAAGACCATATGGCATAAAATCAAGAGTTAGGTCTGGAATAGGTTGTTTAGACTTTGGCAACCGCCGTTAAAAGAACTTATTCCAATTTTCTGGAGCGGTATAGACTTCAACTTTGAGACGCACCTCGATTATAACTGATTTAACTGTTGTTTTTGAAATCCTGAAATCCTGGTCCGGAAACATTTGGCAGTCATGCTGAGAGCATATTGGAAGCATTATGCTTCAAAATACTCGCAAAGGTAATTCAAATCTAGATCAGAGAACTTTGGCTATAATAAAGAAACCTAGCTTGAAAGGATCGACACTTATGTGATTAAAGTGTCCTGTTCATTTACACGCAAATCAGATAAGAAGCAAAATGGATGAAAGCTATCTGCATATTGGGATCTTGAACGAAAAATATTAATATTTATAAACATAATGATGCGTCAGTGGTTTAAAAGGAAGTAATAAACGAATCAATTGATTTTTGGTTTCTCTTATTTTTCAGATGTGTGATTTTTCATTCTTTTTCCTCTGTTGATTTTTTTACAGTTTCCAAATTCCGTATTTATTATAACATAACTTATTTATTTTCATCCAACTGAGTTTATACGTGCTCGGAAATGTATTGTGTGCTACCATTGGCTCTTAATAGGCCCTCTAACTGAATAAAATATTTTAAAAACTGAGCATTATGAAAACAATAAATACGGAAATTAGGTGCATGTAAAACTGGATGCCCCGCAGATTTTCAACATGCTCCAATTGAATTCGACATGATTAATAATTGATATCAAAATGGATAGTTATGTTCTTAATTCTAATTTGGTTTTAACTGAATTATTTAATCATTCAAAATTCAAAATCCAAAGTTCTAGACGTCGAGTCAAGTTCCGTCGCGACATTTATTTTCTTATTTTCTGAAATAGGCATAAATATATTACAAAACTGCTCATTTTTCAGTGCAAAATCTTGAATTTTCCGATTACCCTTTTACGGTTTTGACGTTTTTCTGCTAAGAAATGAACACATTACAAATATTAACAGGATAGCCGGTTAGTGTGCAAGTAGCACAGAACATTCCGATCAAAAAAAATACAAAAAAAATTATTCAAAATGGTGGCGTTTTTTTCTGCATGTTGTCATAAAAAATTTTTCAGGAAAAAATAGACATTAGGCATATATCAGAGTCATCAAAATATATCAGAGGCATATTTTTGCAGAAATGTTTTAAGTTTTCAAGTTTTTGATTCCCAAAAATGTGCTAAAAACTCCAAAAACTACCTTTATTTGAGTAAAACTAAGTTTTCACGGCTTAAATTATGCTTAAGTTTGCTATTGCAAGCCTACACAATCACCTTATTAGCTCGAAATTAGACCAAAAATCAAAAATTCAAATCGATTTTTCTCCACTGTGAAAAATTTTCCTTACGACTGGAAGGGCTTCAATATGATATATCACTCTACCCCGTCCAATCATTATTTGTGGTACCTGGTATCCTTATTTATCCCATTTTGACAATTGGGAATTTTTACACAACTATAGTTTTGCAAAAAGTGACAACAAATTAAACGTCAATTTGGTTTTAAGCTCAAGACATCAATAGTTTTCAGACAAAAAAATCAACCGGAAATTGTAAGTTAAACAGTCGAAAATTAACTGAAAAAAAACCACCCGAAGCAAAAACATTCCGTCTTGTTTTCCGAAAATTGTAACAATCATCTTTAATTGGTTCAATTGGAGTATTTCTGTTCCATTTTTTAACAAAATGACAGATTTTAGGTTTTCAGGGTGGATTTTTCTCAGCAATGAACTTTTAACAAAATCATGTATACTATCTGAAGGATGTCGATGACTTGATCCATAACTAAAAAACTCATCCTTGATTTTTTGATAAATGTTTGGAGGTTTTAAACTGGCCATTTGAGATAATTAGTGCGCTTTAATCGTCAGTCATCTGTAAGGCCCTAACGCAAGTTGCAATATAAAACGGCTCAAAAAAAAATTGCTGTTTGTATCAAAACAAGCTTATTGATAAAAATGAAATGTTTGTAGATAGTAGAATCAGATCTTTTAATACATTTCGATCAGATCAGATCACTGACTACTCTGTCGGGAGAAAACGTCTCATTGTTTTTCAACCAAAAAAAAATCATATGCCTAATAAACAGGTCAGAAGATTCATAGCTCGCCCTAAAATCGTCTTTCGTTCCACGAAAGCAAAGGAAGTTCGTGCTAAGGGTTATGTTTTTCTAGAAGTATTTGAAATGAATGGGGTACGGAATTTCCGATTCAGCCGAAATGGTAGAATTAACGAGCGATTTGATTCTTCTTAAGCGCAAACTGTGAATGAAACAAATATTTTCCAATAAATTTGAGGCAAGCAGTTTGGTCTCAAGGTTATCAGGCAGAAATTACTTTATATTGTACATTCCATAGCAGGGGGATAAAATTGAGAAAAAAATCAGAGTTTTGAAAACCTGGCCTGTTTCGAGTCAGAAAACTTCGCTAGGTACCTGGAGTTGCATCTAATCAATTGTGATTTATATTTTCTCTCTATTGTAATATGTATCCATTCTTACGACCGACTTTGTAAGGTTTCTAATCCTGGTCAGATGTCAGTTTTGATGATTTTTGGCCGGAAAATTGAAAAACGAAACCAACATCAAAGCACTGCAGTTAGGTTTTGTAAGTGAACAAAAATAATAAAGAAAAAAGGTCTTTTAAAATAGAGACTTAGAGCAAATTGAAAAAAGTAGGCTTTTGAAAGTATTTTTTCGGCATAACAATTCTCAATTATAATACAAAAGAATTGCTGAGGAACAAAAAAATTAAATGGGAGGTGCACGCTAATACAAAAATCACTTCAAAGCAAACTTTTATTACAAAAGTTCTTTCGAGATCTGCTTTTAATTAATTACTAAATAAAAATCAGCGATGGTAAATAATTAAATTTTTTGAATGCGCTGAGCTTCTTTAAAATAGAAATTAAAAACTCAAAACTTCGCATCTTTTGTTTCAGAATTGCTCTTGCTTTTAAAAGTAAACGTAGGTTGATAATGAGGTGGGTCTAGGTTTTTTCATGGAATACTTTCTGTTCCTTTACACAGCCTTGATATCAGCAAAACTACCCTAGTGAATCAAGGGAGATTATGTTGCCAGAATATTTTAAAGAGGATGCATCTCTTTAAGATATCTTGCAAGATTCTTCCAAGATCTTGCAAGATAACTTCCTTTAAAGATAACCTTATTGCAAGCAAAATGTTTAAAGATATGATTTTTTGTGAACAAAAAATCAACTTTGCACAAGAAGACAAGTAGACACGAAGACTACAAGAAGACAAGAAGACAATTAGCAACAAGTAGAAACATTTAAATATTTGAACAAACAACACAAATAATCGCATAATCAGATGATCATAAAAATTTATCGGTTTTATGTGAGCACAAAATACAAAACATCTCAAGCTAAATGACTCTATTCATTTTGACAAATTTTTGACGAAAAGAACAAAAATTGAAATTTAACGGATTGAATTGCAAAAATAGATGAAAAATTCGAATAAAATTTTAATTTAAAAAGCAAAATCTTAATTTGAAATGCATAAGTTATAATGACAACCTGAAAGTTTTTTTTTTCATTACAAAAAATGACAAATGAGCAGATAACTGAACATTTTTATATTTGTCTAAGCAAAATAGTTTTTCGAAGTTAAATTCAGAAGAGCTATTTATGGCCATATTCAAATTGGATATCAATAGTTTTTTTTCTGGCGCTCGGAAGATTTTTTTGTGAAAAATTTTCATAATTGGCCATATTGCAAGATATTGCAAGAATCTTGCAAGATTCTTCCAAGATAACCTCACTTTTGCAAGATTTTGTAAGATAACCTCCATCTTGCAAAAACCTGCAAGTTAACCTCATTTGCAAGAATCTTGCGAGATCTTACAAAATAACCCTCCTTGATCGACTAGGTTAGTGATATACTAGATTGCAATGTCTAAACTTTGGTCGAAGTATTATTTCGAAGTATTCGGAAAGATATCTATAACTAAAAAAGAATTGTTCTCTAAAAAATCAAGATAGGTAAAAAAAGGTTTTATAATGATATGGCAGAATTTATGAAAGACAAAGACGCGGGCAATTTATCTGGTTGCTGTAAGTTTACGAGTTCCAGATTAGTTTGAACATTTTTTGAATGCCAAAAACTCCCGCATTGATAGCTAATTTTGCAATCAATTATATGAAGTAAAGCAGAGTTTTTCAACAGTTCAGATTGTTAATCTCTAAACAAAAAACTCTAACTCCTATCAAATAGAATAGTCTTAATCGATTGAAGAATAGAGCTTCTTAGAGCAGTTATCGGTTCAGCTATATACAGTCACGGGAATTGAAGTTTCAACTTTGAACGCTTCGTAAAAATGGTTTTTAAGGGCTACCTTGCCAATTGAGTTCAAAATTGAACAAAATTTTGTGTATAATCTATAATCTGTTCACTGTTTTTTGATAATTTGTATCATTTTTTCAAATGTTTTGTTCTTACTGTTTATTGAATTTATCTATTGTCACGGGACATAAAATTGCAGTTTTTTATTTCAAAAAAAAACAAACGAGCAAACTATTTTTTCACGTTTTTGCCACATTCTCTGCAACTATTCATGATTTAAGATTAAAGTTTTGACATATATCGATAAAATTTTTTTGGAAGTTCTTTATTGTGCCAGTTTTAGGAAATTTTGTTTTGAATGCGTATAATAAGTTTTGAAGGTGCTCTAGCTGTGCAAACGTCCTCAAAAACGACATAATAAATTGGAACTTATTGGCTCAAATTAGTTTTGGAGAAGCTTATGAACTTGACTTAGTTTTTATGCCGCCGAAATACGACAGATAACAGAATTGAAAAAAATAATTGGTCTGGTGTCCAGAAACGATCATAACTGCTTTGATGACACATACATTAAAAGTTCGCGGAGCTTATAACAGAAATAAAAAAAAAATTTAACACTAAATAAGAATCCTGTGTATTGAGACCAAGCAGTTTTTTCATTTCGGTCACTGTTTTTTTGGCGGCTTAAGAATAAGTCAATTGCATTATTTTTTTCTATGAACTTAATTGAGCCGATAAATTCAAATTCACTATTTGTTTTCAAGGATGATTCTTGAGCTAGAACAGATCCAAAGCTAGTTATAGTTTCTAAATAGTGTCATCTAGCATATGTCAAACTTGCAATCATAAATCATGTAATGTCGCAGATAAAACCGCAAAAACGTGAAAAAGCGTTATTTTATTTGTTTTTTTTTGCAGTTTCTATGTCCCGTGACTATACAACTTCTATCAACATTAGATACAGAAAATTAAGAAATTGATACGACTTATCAAAAACATATTATACACAAAAATTTTCTGAATTTTGATTTCAATTGGCAATCAAGCCCAGAAATCCAATTTTAAAAACTTTCCTAAAATTCTTTTGTAAAGCGTTGCTGCTTGTACAGTTAATTTATTTATTATTCAATGTTTTACATTGCTAATTGAGTTAAAAATTGAACAAAATTTTGTGTATAATTTATAATTTGTATGCAGTTTTTTGACAAATTGCATCA